AGGCAGGAGGCAGGGGCGGCGGCTGCAGAGGCACTGGCACTTACATGGGGCTGATTTTGTGCCAGGCGTGTTCTGTATACAGATTCTTCACACAACACCCACAGCAACCACTAGTGGTGGGATAGAGTTCAGGCACAAGCCAGGTAGCTGCAGTTTCTGTGTAATTACTTGTTATTCTGTCCCAGTTCTCTTAAAGTACAGCTGGAGAGGCAGGGGCGGCGGCTGCAGAGGCACTGGCACTTACATGGGGCTGATTTTGTGCCAGGCGTGTTCTGTATACAGATTCTTCACACAACACCCACAGCAACCACTAGTGGTGGGATAGAGTTCAGGCACAAGCCAGGTAGCTGCAGTTTCTGTGTAATTACTTGTTATTCTGTCCCAGTTCTCTTAAAGTACAGCTGGAGGCTGAGCGGCAAGGCTGGGAGCTCGTCCATTTCTGGTCTGCTGTGAAAGCCTGCCGGCAGGGCTTTAGGACATATGCTGCCAGTTAACCCTACGCCTCAACCTCCCAATTAACAGTGAAACAATTAACCATCTTCCTCAGTTTCTGCATGTGTAAGAGTAGGGGCAATAAATATACTCAAATTATAAGGCTGTTGTATGGGTTAAATAAATTAAAGTGTGTACAGTGCTTAGAACAATGCCTGACACATAGTAAGCATTTGGTAGTTTATTGTTGAATATTTTAAAAACCTCTGTGACTTTATTCACTAAAAGACTATTCATTTTGGTGGTCTGTCTTTCTATCTGTCTGTCTGTCTATCCATCCATCCATCCATCCATCCATCCATCCATCCATCCATCCATCCATCCATCCATCCATCCATCCATCCATCCATCTATCCATCCATCCATCCATCCATCCATCCATCCATCCATCCATCTATCTATCTATCTATGTATCTATCTCTCTATACCAGGGATTAAACTTGAGTCATTGTGCTTGTGAGGCAGGTAGTGGAACCACTGAGCTAAATCCCTGGCCCTGCTGGTATTTCTTGAGTGAAAGATGAAGTGGAATTCTCTTGTGGGTAAGTTTGGATATATGGTGTGTACAAACTTGTATGCCAAGTTCTTGCCCTGGGTGGGGTGTGGTAAGAGTAGCTGATCTTAACCAAGCATCCAGTTTCTGGTAGAGAACAGGGAGGAAAGTTGTTCCGGATGACTGTGCTTCACTGTGCAGAAGCTGGAATCAGTCACTTACTGCACCACTGAGACAAAGCATCCAGCACCTGCAGCTCGAAGGAGGAGAGGATTATTTTGCCTCACGGTTTCATGGGTTCATGTCAGGGTCCGCTGTTTCACAGCTGAAGTGATGGTCTCGTGGGAGGTTGTGCGTGGGTCATCGATGGTTGAAGGGATTAAAGTAGGTCTTAGGGATCCCAGGGTTAGTTCCCATGAGAGCACACTGTTCCGAAAGTGAGCTTGGCTCCTAAGTCCTCTCTTCATTTCCCATGGCAATGCTGTCACCGTGACGCTCTGCCCTGAGGCCTCACCAGAGGCCAGCGGATGGGTTCAGCAGTCTTTGCCTTCCAGCTTCCCAAAGTGTGGACTAAACTTTCTTTTTTAATCCACTAAGTTCATTGGCACTTTTAAGGTATATAATATGATGGCACTCATCCCTGGGAGTTTGTACCTTTATATGACAGATCTTGGTTCTTATTTTTTCCCCATTCCCCTGTCCTCACTTCACCCCCTCCACCCCTTTCTGTTTACAAAGACTTAGTTTCTGTGTTTTCCTTTTCTCATACTTATTCCTTTCCCCTACCCCTTCCTCTTTCCCTTCCCTATAAGGCTACCCAGCTTTAGGCATTTTATTGTATCTGCTTCTTTACTTTTCTTTTTTTTGGTACTGGGGATTGAACTCTGGTCCTTGAGCTTGAGAGGCAGGCTGCGGAACCGCTGATCTAAATCCCCAGCCAGCATTTTACTGTAATAATGAAAAACAGGCTCATAGAAGCTGCCTGGGGCATCATGAGCTCTCAGTACCCCCTCTCTCAGAGTGTGACCATCTTCCTGGGCCCTGTGTGGATGATTTTTTGTCCTGTGTACTCAGTAACTTTGGTTACCATTCTGGGCCACCTCTGATCCCATTCCCTTTAATCTGCCCCTCATCATCCCACAAGAGAGTTAGGCCTCCTAAAGGAGAACACGCTGTATGGGATTCCTCCCTAACACACCAACATCAAGATTTGCTGAAAGGTTGGACATGGTCAAGGCTCACAAGCTCATCACTGCCCCTTACTCTTTCTTATTCACTGTTTTCCTTTTATCTCTTCCCAGGGCAGTGAGCGTTTGGGTAGGAGTATGGCCCCTGTCGGTTTGGGAACTTAAGCAGTACTACCTCAGCTTTTAGCTGCTTGCGTCTGCAGCCCCATCATCTCAGAATCACAAGGACTGAGCCTGGAGGCTAAAGACAATTGTTCCACAATCATAGTCCACCCTGTGCTGCCAGCCTGCTGTTCATCTTGAGCAGCACATACAGAGCTAGCACAAGTGCGCATCTGTATGTAGGATGGATTGCATGGAATAGTCAGGCAGGAATATCGCAGGCTTGCAGAGGCCAAAATGGTTACAGTCCCATGAAAGAGATTGCTAGATTTTCTTGTTCCACCTTTATGAGATTGGCTGGTGAGGAAAACAAGTCCAAATGCACTTAGGCACTTTGTTACTTACACATACAACAGAGCAAGATCAACAGTGTTAGGTCCTAGGTTTACAGGATGGCACTCAAGTAAGGAGGCGGATGACAGGCAGCAGAGGTGGTGGCCAATTTGTTGCTAAGGAGTTAGCATTAAACTACAACCAAGCTCTCTTACAGCTTGCAACAGGATCTAAACGGCTGGGGCACAAATTCTCATGTTGGACTGGAGCTGGGGCGGTAGGGGGGAATCATCTCATGACAGTGCACCATGAGTGACCTCTCTCCTGTTTCAAGAAGAGTTTCGGGGCTGGGTTTCGTGGCACATGCCTATAATCCCAGAACTCAGGAGGCTGAGTCAGAAGTACTGCCATGAGTTTGAGGACAGCCTGGGCTACATAGTGAGTTCAAGTCTTTCCCGAACTACATAGTGAGACCCTGTCTTAAAAAAAAAGAACCAAAAGAAAGAAAAAAGGAAATTCAGAGCCAGATTCATTGAGACTTGAATCAGCCTGCAGTTAAGCCTTGCTTATGAGGTCTGTGTAAGACATGCAGAGATTGTCAGAGCGCCCAGGGGGGATCTGTCTCTCTGCAGGTGGTAGGGTAGGACCCTATGTACAAAGAGACTCTGAAGAGGCCTCTTTAAGTAAAAAAGGCATCCCTTCTGTGCTTGTGGAGAGAATTAGGCACTGAAGAAAGTACTGATACCTCTTTGAAGTGAGAAAAAAATATTCAAAGTTGCCCTTCTCAGAAGCCAAACTCTAGTTTAAGAGGGCTTTTGCTTACCACCCCCCCAGTCCAAGATCATAAGATTTGGGGGATTTGGAAGAAAAATATGAACAGCCAGTAGCTGTGCGCACATCGCAGCATCCTAGTTTAGTCTAAATTTCCTAGCTTTGTAAAAGATGGGAAGGCCAATGATCTTCAAGTCAATGGACGCTCACTGCTTTCTCATGTCAGGGCCCAGGGCTTCCTGTGACACAGCACTCCAGATGGAACAGACAATAGGCGACTAGCATCTCACTTCCATAGCACTCCAGTCTGCAGGTACCATGTTCATAGCATTTCTTGTGCATTTCTGAGGTTAATGGATTCAAACCTATAAGAAGAGTGAATGGAAAGATAATTTAGTACAGGGTAATTGTTGAATGACTTCAGTCCTTCAAGCTCTGTCCCACTAGATTCCAAGAAGACTTGGTCATAACAATTGATTTGGTAATTAAAAAATATTAACTAGTATTGTGGACTGAATTGCGTTGACCTAGTACCCGTATGTTGGAAGCTGAACCCCCAGTGTGACTGTGTTTGGAGATAGGACCATTAGAAGGTAGTTTAAGTTAAATGAGACCATAAGGGCAGGGCCTAATCCAGTGAGGTGGGTAGCCTCATCCTACGGTTGGATCGATGGACTTACTGGTGGATGCACAGAGAGAAGATGGCTATTTCCAAGTCAGGGAGAGCAAGCACCCCCATCATTAACAGTATCAGCTAGCTTGACTGTGAACTTCCCAGTTTCCAGAACTTCCATTTTTTTTGGGGGGGGTACTGGGCATTCAACTCTGGTCCTTGTGCTTGCAAGGTAGGCAGTGGAACCACTGAGATAAATCCCTGGTCCCCAAATTTGTTTAAAAACTATGCAGTCTTTGGTATTTTGCGATGGCATCTCAAGCTTAGATGACTAGTAACCGGGGGTTCTCCTGGATTGCTTAGTTAATGTAATCCAAATAGTCAAGTTAGCTATGCACCCAGGTACTCATTCATTCTTTTACTAACTGTTCATTCACTCATTATTATTTGTTCTCAAACTAGTTTTCATAGATCCGTGAATTAAGGACTGTCAAGGTACGTATTTGAAAATGAAACACATCTTAGCCTCACTGAATTTTCAGTCTACACTAAAAGAAAAGAAACAGAGACTGTCTCTGGGAGGATGAGATATGACAGGAGCCCTGAGGTGTTTATGATATGGAATGACGGTCTGGTGAGTTTGAAGGAGGGTGAAAGATTTTTGAAGTCTTATTCAAGCTCAAAGCAGTTAAGGTAGGTTTACAATTTTGTGGGCCTGCTACTCTTTAGAGACTCAAATGCGAAGGTTTTTCCTTTTCATATAGAAGAAGGCATTAAGAAGAAAATAATTATAACATTTGCCCATCTGTAAAGACTTTGAGCAACCTGTACCTTATCCAAGTCAGAAGGGATTGGGGTTACCTCGTTGGCAAGACAGAAGCCCAAGAGGGTATTCTGTAACACTTTTTGGGGGACAAAGCATGTTGATTATATAATGAGACAAGAAATTCTGTGGCAGTAAGTTCTGAGAGTGTATGAGGCACAGAAGGGAATACTAGAGCTGTTGATTGGAATCCACGAATCCACTGTCTTAAACCGGAGTGGAGTTGGTGCTGTCAATGGCTTAAAGAAAGCTATATCGAGGGCCAGGGATTTAGTTCAGTGGTGCTGCTGCCTGCCTTGCAAGTGCAAGGTCCTGAGTTCAATCCCTGGTACAAATAATAATAATAATAATAATCAAGCCTGGATCAGATCCTATTGGTGTGAGCCATGTGATCTGAAAATCCATTTCACCTGCCTAGAGAATACTTCAGGGAGACTAGAAAATCAGCTGGGGCCTTGACATCACAAGGATTTTGACTGACTCAGTAAAATCCAGTGAAGAAAATATTCAAGATGAGATTTCTTTTTTTTAATTTTTATTTTTTTATCTTATTGAGTTTATTGGTACTTTTAAAGTATACAATACAGTTACATGTATCATTGGGATCTTGTACCTTTACATGACAAGTATTGGTTCAAGATGAGATCTCTAAACCAGAAAAGGATATGGGCAAGGCCAGTCATGCTGCCCCTCATGTGCCCTTAGTGGTCACCTCATCTGATCACACATTCCTTCTATCGCCAAGAGCCCCTTGATTCTCTTGAAATGAGCAGGTCCAAAACCCTTTCCTCATGTGCCTAAGGGATCCCTAAATAGCAGAGCTACTGTCAACAATTTCACTATGTTAGAAAGTTGGGCAAATTGACTTTTCATGCTTTGCTGGTTTTGACCAATATACATGGACGTTCATAATGTGCACAGTGGGATTGCTTTTGTAGGTGAAGCCTCCTCTTCCCCCTTAGGAATATTCCGTCTTACCTGCCAGCACTGGATCCCAAATGAAGAGAAAGGCAGACACCAGGAGGAAAGGCTTCATGGAGGGGCTGGGGCTTCTTTGGAGGAGGCCTGCGGCAGTGCCTGACACTGGCCTTCAGAGAGCAGAGAAGGGGAGGCCGAGCATCGCTTCCTGCGCAAGCCTTGCCCATCTGGGGCGCCCTGGGAGGATGTGCTTCGCTGAACACCTAGAGGCAGCAGAGTTGCAGGGCTCTTCTTCGGACAGAACTGACTGTCCTTTCTCGTCCCACAGCTTTTCCTATCCATAGCAGGTAGGACTGACCCCCAACCTGGGTTTCGTGAAAGTGAGAAAGGAGGCCCGAGAGATATATGATTTCTCAGACTCAAGTGAATGAGATTTATTCCCCTCTCCGAGATAACGTGTGTTTCTTGAGAAAGTTTTGTCTGTATTTTGTTTTGCATGCTGATAAACCAGATACTATTTTTCTTATGTTTTATTTTTATTAGTTATTGTTTAATTGTATAAATTTATAGGGTATGTGATAATTTGATAACTGTGTATAATGCAATGATCAAATCAGGGTCAGTTTAAGGAGATAAACCTAATAATACTTTTGTAATTAGATACCCTGCTCTTTGTAACTTGTATGCTGTACATATCACTATAAATTATTCATAGTGTTTTGAAATGCAGAACAACAGTTCATTAAGATCATTTAAAAATAATTGTCACCATTTAAAATATCCCCAGTGAAGCATTAGTGATATATGATAAACTCCAGACATTAAAATGTACAGCTTGATAGGTGTACCTTGTACATAGGTGTACCTTTGTGAAACCACCGTCACAAGACGATGTGCATTTGTTTCACCAAACATTCTTTATGTCTTCTGTTTTCCTCCTGATACTCTTCCTCCACTCTGCTTTTCTTCTCTTTTATTAGTACATGTTTGCAGTACTCGATTATTTTCATCATGAAGCACTGCTGTATGTATGTAACATATCTCAATTCTTCTTTACTTTCACCCACTACTCCTGCCTTCTCTCCCTGCTCCTCCCAACTCTTGGTCTCCATACCATTTGGAAAAGCTCTATTTTCATTATTTTTTCCTTCACTTCTTTTTTTGGTACCAGGGATTGAACTCGGGTCCTTCCGCTTGGGAGGCAGGCAGCGGAACCATTGAGCTAAATCCCCGTCCCCACTTCACTTCTTTATTTTTACATCTCCTTGCTTTCCCTTGCCCTCCAACTTTTGTTCTCCCATCTGTCTATCTCCATCTAAAGATTTCCCTACTTACTGTTTATCTATCTTCTATCTGTTCTCTCACTCTCTTTCTCAAGTAATGAACATTATATACCCATAATGAATTAGCTGAGAAAGAAATCAGTACACAATTCTATTTACAACACCTTACAAATAACCTATGAATCAACCTAAGGGGGTGAAAGACCTCTAAAATGAAAATGACAGAACACTGAAGAAAAAATTGAAGAAAGCATTAAAAAATGGAAAGACCTTACATGCTCATGGAATGGCAGCACAGATATTGTTAAAATGGCCATATTGCCAAAAGCAATCTACAAATTCAATGAAATCCCCATCAAAATTCCAATGATAGTCTTCACAGAACTAGAAAAACAACCCAAAATTAATATAGAAGCAAAAAAGAGCCAGAATAACCAAAGCAATTTTAAGCAAAAAGAGCAAGTCTGGAAGCATCATTATACCCAACTTCAAATTATACTACAAATCCATAGAAACAAAAACAGTATGGTACAGGTACAAAAATAGACACACAAACATAAGACAAACCAGTGAAACTATAGGCATCTGACAAAGGGCCACAACAGATATATTGGAGAAAAGACAATATCTCTAACAAATGGTGCTGGGAAAACTGGATATACATATGTAGAATAATGAAACTAGATTTTTATCTCTCACCTTATACAAGAATCAGTTCAAAATGGAGTAAGGACCTACGTATAAGATCTGAAACTTTGAAATCGCTAGAAGAAAACATAGGGGAAACACTTCAAGTTATAGGCTTGGCAATGACTTCCTGAATAGGACTCCATCCAGTAGCAGAGGAAATAAAGTAAGAATCAGCAAATGAAACTACATCAAATTAAAGACTTTCTGCACAGAAATGGAAATAGTCAACAGAGTGAAGTAATAGCATATGAAATGAATGAAAATCCTTGGCAGACACTCTTCTGACAGAGGATTACTATCCAGAATTTGCAAAGGACTCAAAAAATTACCACCAAAGAAATTAATAGCTAAATCAATAAGTGCTCAGATGAACTGAGCAGACACCTAAGAAATGTCAGCGGCCAAGAATTTGAAAAAGTGTTCAACATCTTTAGCCACTAGAGTAATGCAAATCAAAACATTAAGATTCTGTTTCATCACAATCAGAATGGCTATTACCAAGAATACATAAAAAATAAATGCTGGTGAGGATGTGGAGAAAAAGGAACCCTTCTACACTATTGCTGGGTATGTACATTAGTACATAGCCAATATGGAAATAAGAACAGAGGTTTCTCAAAAAACCAAAAGTAGAACTGCCTTATGACCCGGTTAAATCACCCCTCTGTACATACCTTAAGGAATTAGTCAGCATAGTATAGAGATACCTTCATTCACACATTTATGGCACACAATTCACAATAGCCTAGATATGGAAATAGCCTAGGTGCTCATCAGTGGATGAGTGGCTAAACATGTGGGACATATATATGATCTAGTATTATTCATAAATACAAATAAAATTTTTCATTTGCAGAAGAATGGATGATAATGGAGATTATCATGTAAAGCAAAATAATCTGTTCATTGGAGAAAGTGGGGAGGAAGAATGCAAGGAGAAGTAAAGAGAATTAAGATGTGAATGTACACTTACCAACTCCCCACAATGAATGTAACCATTATATACTGCAAACATGAAAGAAAGGCAAGTGTGTATTTTTCTTTGAAATCTAAAAGAAAAGATGGCATGAAAGCATAAGGGAGACTATTATTAGACAAGAGAACAGGAGTCAAAGCAGGGAGAGGTTAATGAGGCATGGATATGATCAAAATATGTGATGTGCATATGCGAATATAACACATTAAATATAACATTGAATACAAGCATGCTTATATATCTAATTTGGTAAAAATTTCTTGGATTTACTGAGTTTATCACATGAGTTTTCTCAAATCTCTTAGTGAAGTGCAATGTGTGCCACCTTTTCCCTCCCTATACCCATCACCATGTAGATCTCTTCATGAGTAATGACTTGATGACATTCACCAATAAGCACACATGACCCAGGGCTTTTTTTTTTGTTATTTGAGTTCTATTCCTCTAGGTATGGAGGTACAGGAAGTGCCAAGGGATAGTTGCTCCTCAAAAGTATCCCAAATAGGGCTGAGGATGCAGCTCACTGCTGGAGCACTGGCACGCCCCATTTGGGATACTCCTGAGTAGGTTTTACATTATCTTACAAAATTTTGCAGAGTTGATTCTAAGTCACCCACAACAACAACCAACTCAATACACCCATTTCAAGGGCCCTTCATTCTCTACCTTGAGCTCTTCCTTGTTTCCCTACTGATGCTCTCTAGGATCACATCTGAACAAACTCTTTGCACTTAACAATTTGCCTAAAAGTTTGCTTCTAAGGCAACCCTAACTGTAAAAAATATCAAGCTACACTAATTGACCTTAGAACATTAAAAGAATTTTACAACCCTGGAATTTACCCACCTTGGTAATTTCTATATGTGCTGCAATGATGATGATGATGATGATGATGATGATTATTGGGTACAGGGATTGCACTCAGGACCTTGTGCTTGCCAGACAGATGTGCTGCCACTGAGTAGCACTCCCAGCCCAGTTTGCCATTTTTTCAAAATGAAAAATTTGTATGTGAATTTATGAGTGAAATGGGACTGAAACTTCCTTGCCGTACTCTGATTCAGGTTTTGGTGTGAAGTTGATATTAGCTTTATGGAATGAGTACAAACATCTTTCCTCCTATTTCTCTAAAGCACCATTGGTGCATTCTTAAGATCTACTTTTACCAGGAATGGGTTTTACATAGCCATGTTCTTTCAGAAAATATAAGGTACTATTACTGGTTTCTGGCTTCCACTGCTATTGTATTTAACTATGGTTCCTTTGGAGGATTCTGATTTCATTTAAAAAATACTATTGCTTGTTTTAATATTTCTCCTTGCATTTGTTTTTTTAGCAGTTTAATTATTTGTATGTCAAATTATTTTTCCTTATTTGGGAAGTTTTTTGCTATTACTTCTGTGAACATATTTTTTATGGCATCTGCACTGTCTCTAGCTTTTTCATTGACCTTGAGCAATCTTATGTTGTTCTTCTTTACATCGTCTTGCAGCTGTTGGGTCGATTTTTAATGGTTCCTTGCTATTTTTAAGATATTTTTCTTTTCATGGTCAATAACCACCATCTTGTCTTCTAGATCTGATATTCTGTCCTCACCTTCATTCAATTAGTTATATTGCCTATACTTTCAATAGAATTTTAAATCTCCTGAATATCTATTTGAATCTGTTTCATTCATGGTTTCTATCATTTTCCTAATCTCCTCTATTTTTAAAATCTGTGTCTACTCTAGATTTATTGAGCATGTCCTTTATTTTTACTGGAGAGATTATTTTCCCTATAGCCTCTCCATCTGTTTTTTAAATTCTGCTGCTATCATTTCAGAAAGTTTAGATTGATGGCTTCTGACTTCTTCTATCTTGTTATCCCCTGAGTGGCCTGGAGGTCTGGGATTGCATTTTGCTTCTGTGTCTCATCATTTTTAAATTTTATTTTGTTTTCTGTGTTGATACCTGTGAATTTCTTTTTTTCTTTTTTTGGTGCTGGGGGTTGAACTCAGGACCTTGCACTTGAGAGGCAGGTGCAGTGCCACTGAGCTAAATCACTGGCCCTGTAATTTCTTGTGGTGGATAGCTTTATCACTATTATCAAGGCTTCCTAGGAAATGTCTGTTCCACAGAGATGTCTTCTAGGTGTAGGTGGCTCTTGGTCTTTGTGTCTTTCCCAAGA